AATTGCTCCACAATCACGCTCATCTAGCATCTGGGGCTGGTATAATAGGCCAGAAGTGGCCTCCGTACAAGTGACTTAGTCCCACCCCACTAGCAATAAAAAAATATAATAACGTTGAGACGTAATATGCCCAGTCAGTAACAGAAAGAAGAAATTTGACAATAAATCGCTCAGGATTTATTAACCTGCCTTAAGAACATCAAGTCTCCAGCCAAAAGCAATGGCTTGCGTACTAGTACAAATTAACTGACAAATTTCATGTTAGGTATTACTGGATTTTTTTTGGACTTCGTGGGTCGTCGGTATTCTAATGAACACTAAGAATACAAGGTTTCGGAAATTGGATCTGTTTCCATTCTCAGGTGAGAGGGCGGAGTCCAAAACCTCAGTAAAATCAAGTATTGCATGTCATCGTCTCAACCCTGTAGAATAAATTTTACGTTGTTCAACAAGTCAAGAAACTTCATATTTTAATAAAATTCGAAGGTTCATTTTTGTGATAATTACCGTATTACGAGAATTAACGCCGCGTTTATTTAACGATGTTCTCAGTAACTCTGAGTATGTAGCGTCGAATTAATGGACGACAGTGAATAATGAATTGGAAGGAACGTGGAAGGAAGCAGTCTTAGTCCAGTTTAAGGTACTCTCTAAAAATTTGCCTGCAAGGAATGAGGAAAACTACGAAAAAGTTCATTGTCCCAGCCGAGATTCGAACCAGAAGATAAGTCAGAGGAATTGCTGCTTGAGACAATTTTCTTGGTGCTACGCCATGTTATTTACTAGATATGTGACGACGTTTCGGAGGAACCTGATACCTCTAAAACAATATGACATCACATTTCTGGAGACTGTAGTCTTAATCTTCCTGAAGGGCACAAGAAGCCACCAGCACGTATTATTCTGAGCTAATTCAATTAAGTTCACATTTCCAGACCCTATTTCTATAATAACTACTTTAATATTATCCCGCTTCTAAGCTTAGGTCTTCCGCGTAGTCTCTTCCTTTAAAGTTTTCGGATGAAACGTCTGTTTTACTCGTCTCCCCCTTGTGTGCTATACATTTGCACACCTCGTTCCCCCTTACACAATTGTGTTAATGGCATCTGGCGAAGAGAAGCAGATGTAAAGCTATTAATTTCATGTTTCCTCCGATGCGTTCCGAAAACAGAAAATCCTCATTATAACGGACTAATTGGATATCGCCGACATCTGCTATAACCGAGTGAAGGGGTATTCACGGAATTACACAATAGAATACATAGCCAATACGCGCAATTAACATGGAAACACGAAATGTTTTCATGTGAAGGGTTTTATATTCTATTTCTTTTTGTTTTAAATATATTTCTAACTACAAAACCTTCTCATTGCCTGAACACCTCTAGTTTTTTTTCTTAGTTTCTTGGGGTGGGGTGAGACTGAGTCCATTTTGTACGTCAGGCAATAACTGGCCTATTTTACAAGTCCCGAACGATAGAATGATGAACATGGAACAGTCGGTGGAATGAAAACTGGCAGGAGAAACCGTAGTATTCGGAGAAAACCTGCCACAGTGCCATTTTGTCCGTCACAAATTCCACATGACCTGACCTGGTCTTGACCCAGTGCCGCCGCAGTGGGAAGCCGACGATTAACGGCCTGAGCTATGGTGCGGCCTTCAACTTCTTTAGAAATTCACAGTTATACACGGCCAAATTTTATCTGTTATGTTGGAAATACGTTACATCCTGGTCGATTACAAGTATAACGAGGGTTTGCTGTATTCTCATCGGCACTTTTTTTTCTGAAACAACTTGTTTAATCCATGTTCCTAGTCTGCACGTACGCAGTTAGTATTTAATAATCACAATACATTGTCAGACTGCTCTATGGATAATGATTGATATGACTGACTTTGTACCTATGTATTGTAATTTATATCTCGCTATCAACTGGAAGTTTTTGGTGTTATTCTTTTGTTGCTAGTGAGGTGGGACTAAGTCTCTTGTACTGCGGCCACTTCTGGCCTATTGTACCAGCCCCATACGATAGGTGAGGGTGATTGTGGAGCAATGGGTGGAATGAAGATTGGCAGGGGAAACCGAACTACTCGGAGAAAAGCTGCCCCAGGGCCACTTAGTCAACCACAAATCCCCGGGATCGAACGCGGGCCGCCTCAATGTTGATTCGGTTCTTTTCTATTTTTGTTATTGTTTCAGTGAAAAAGCAGCAGCTTGCATGGGATTAATCTAAAAAATTTGAGTCCAACAATGCGAGAAAAAATTAGTTCTTGCTTTTCCAAACAACGACCTGCATGGCTCATGTGTTACACACACAATCTATGAGCACGGGAAGGTTACATCTGTCGAAAACGCTGAAGATGTTTTGATGATATTTAAGTCTAATAGCGGAGGACGTCTCACATGAAGAGATGTCATGAAAATGTAATTTTGAATCGAACCGATTTAATGTAGCACTAGTTCCACTTTGTAGCACATTTAAATGTAATTCCTAAAATTTGTAAACAGTACATCATCACAAAACCTGTACAGATCCCATTGAAATCTATCAGTTTTATCTGATACACTTTCTTTATATTTAATATACAGAATGTCCCTGGAGGAAAGTCAGCATTCTGGGAGGCTATAGTGTCTGTCATTCTAAGTTAAAATATATATATGTAGATGTGTCCTATTCACAACAGTACACTGTACACTGTACAGAGGCAGCATCAGCACGCTATAATCCTCACACGAGTTGCGAAGTGCATTGATGATGACAATGGAATTGTCGCAAATGTATTGCACTAGGTAAACTGTACCAACTTTGTCACTTAAACAGTACATACTGGGAATAGAAACAGTACGTAATATCTCTCTCTTATCAACAGTTTTGGAACTGTACAGTGAAATAACTCTATCTCGGAAACCGTCCGGAATAGGACACATGTACATATACAATTTTTGCTTACAATGACCGATACTGTGTTCTCCCAGAATATTGACCTTTCCTCCTGGGACATTCTGTATACTGAAGGAAATAAAAAGAAAATTATTTTTTGAATCTTAAGCAGGGTGATTAACTTCGCAACAACTGGTTTCTGTTCGAAATGTAGGAACACGAAGTCCTATAGAATACAAAGATTTTATTTGAGATACATTTGAACTTCACTGGAGTATCCTAAGAAGACATGACTTAATGCAGGGACACTTATGAATTATTAACAAACTCCAATGAGTCGAGTCCTTCTTAAAAACTTAGTAGTTTCTCAGCTACTGAAGAAATTCTCGCCTCTTATATAATCCGAAGGTTTAGTGCCGTGTTCATAGCAGCCTGCCTTTGGTCGCTATTCTGAGCCAGATTATTCAGTGCAGACTCTCACATCTTATTTCTTTAGGATAACTTTTAATATTATCTTCCTATCTATGCTCAGCCCTACAAGTGGTCTCTTCAATTCAGATTTCTTGACTGAAATTTTGTATGAATTTCTCGCCTCTCCATGTGCATTCATGTCCTGCCCATCTCACCCTAATAATGTTGGAAAAAAGAATACATTATGTTGCAGATTACATGCGCATGCACGCACACATACACACACATACACGGGGCCGTTCAGAATAATTTCACTGCATTTTTTTTGTGGCTTTATTAATAGAATGTTAATCGAAGAAAATTACAAGACCTTTAAAAATGGCGGTACACCAATGTCAGTCTGTACTTGTTGGAGATGCCCAAAATGTCCACCCAAACGCAGTCCACAATGCTAAACAACGAAGGGCAAACAAACAAACAAAACAAACCCCGTGGCCTGTAGTCCGCAAGAGAACTATATCGACCGAGCGGCCGCCGCTTGTCGGCGAAGTTGGTGCCAACTTTTGCGGATAGAGAGCGTCGCGTGGTCAGCGCAACGGATCCCCACTGCCGTTAATCTCGCTTTTCTAGACCGGAGCTGCTATTTCCTTGAAATAGCTCCTCAGTTATCCACACGAGGCTGAGTGGACCCCGTTTCAGACCCACTACTTCTCAGAAAATCTAGGACCGCCGGGAATCGAACCCGGGACCCCTGGTTCTGTAGCCAGGAGCTCTGTCCAACAACGAAGTGTAAACAGTTAAATATATTAACTTTATTGTGGGACAATCCTATGTGTGTGTGTCTGTGCACGCGTGCGTATTGTTATATAAGTAGTTCCTTGAACTTCACTACAGAGACTGAAGCATTGAAAGGAAATTAGGCATAATAACGTACACACTTTCTAGCACTTTTTGTGCTAATATAAATTTTGTTACACTTTTGTCCAAAGGTATGCTGATGTCTGTTATTGTTTTTATTGTTATTATTAGTTAAATGTCTACAATTTTGAGTGGGGGCACACAGTAACGTAGTTGTTTGAGGGGCTATGCTACAAGCCGGAAGGTCGCGGGTTCAAGTCCCGATGAGGTCACTGGATATTTTTTTAATTGACCTAATCCTTCCAGCCGCACTATGGCTCTGGGGTTCACTCAGCCTCTAACAGAAATTAGTACCAGGAATTAATTAAACAATTTTCCTGGGGAGTCAAGCGTGGCCGGCGCGTAAGGCTGACGTTACCGCCATCTCTGAGCCGATTGTCTAGATAATGTGGGACCCTCAACGTCTCACAACCCTTTTGACCTTCAGGGCCTGGTACAGGGATAGCTTTACTTTTTTTTTTAGTAAAATTTTGAGTGCCACATTGAAATATCTTAATTTGTATTACATTTTAGGCTGCAGCATTCGAATAAACAATGACTTGCCAGAACCCCAGCCATTGCTTCTAATCCCAGGAGGCAGTAAAATTTGCCAGAAGATGGTGATGACACTGTTACATTTGCTGTTGGCAAGAAGGTGCTCTTAGCCTGTTCTGGTGATAATAACTGTTTGGTCTACAGTGGTTCTGGGACTAGAACTGCACTTGCAACCCGTAGCTCTGATACTACATTTTATATAAGCCAAATTCCTTATAGATTTTCAGAGTTTGCATGTAGAGGATAGCCTTACCATGTTGCCAGCAGATCTGGCAGTAAATGTCATGACGGCACCAAAAGCCACATTGAGATTTGTTTTGCAAGTTGAGTCAGACTTTTATAAAATAACAGATATCTGTTTTGATGATACTCAATTGAAGACTTTGTATAGTAACTTCACATTTGTGTCTGGTATTGGTGGCTACCAAGTAGGATTTCCAAGACCAAGTTTTATACAAGATGACTTCTACCCTGAGATCTCAGTTGACAATCTCTACACAAGAAACGTACCATTCTTGGTTCAACAGAGTTAGCTGATAAATATATTGCAGTCAGCTGACTCTTATCTAGCTAGGGGCCACTACACAGCCAAAGCCGATTTTGTTTATGGTTCCCAACACAGAGCTACTTTCCATTTTGTAAACATTTCCCCACAGTGGCAAACTTTCAATGGAGCAAATTGGAATGCACTTGAGATGAGTGTACGAACCTATGCTGACAGGAATAAACTCAATCTTGATGTGAACACTGGAACATATGGTGTTGCAACATTACCAAATGTTAATGGCATTGAGAATGAGTAGTATTTATACGTTGATGACAATGACAACAAAGGGATTTCTGTGCCAAAACTGCTCTGGAAAGCAGTGTACAGTCCCAAGACACAGGCTGGTATTGCTTTTGTGGGAATCAACAACCCATGTTTCTAATCTGCAAGATTATTTGATTTGTAATGATGTTCACTCAAAAATTTCTTGGCTTCAATGGGATCAGACGAGTATTGAGGAAGGATATTCCCTCTGCTGCGATGTTGATGAATTTAGGTCCACAGTCAGTACCCTCCCAGAATTCAGTGTAAGTGGCCTGCTAATATATGTGAACATATGCAGCAGCTGTTCTCTGTAGCGGTATCAAATATAGTTCCCAAGCAGGACACATGACCATATGCTCTAAAATGCTATAACATCCTCAATTTACATTACACCATTTTTAGTAATGTCCTATGATGTCCACGAAAGCTTCAACAAAATATTAAATATTAGAATATCATCTTTGGGTAGAGAAATTTTCAACATTTTTACACAGCTTACAAAATGGAGTACTTTCATTTGTTCCACTGTTGCAACACTATACACCCATTGTCATATCCCATAATTCCTGTAGAGATCTATTTAAGAGACTACATACAGATCTTAACTTTTCCTTGCGAATATATATATTTACTAATAAACTTCATTACAAATAACGAAGAACATTTTTGGAAGAATGCGGAAGTACTGTTAGTTCCTTGGAACTCTAGCCATGGTAGAGGGGTCATACCATCTCTTGTCCAGCGAAGGGATCAGTCTTATCTGCTTATGCCAACGTGGGTACTACCAGTTTGGAATGTAGTGTCTTGTAGTATTGTCAGGTGTATAATACTACTCCTGGTCTCTGTAGGCAATGTTTTCCACTCAGGGAGTATCTCTGAATGTCACCACAGCAAGCGTACAGCTTTGCATGCTCCACAACAGCGTTTACCTTTCCTCGTGGCTAAAGTGACAAGGCACTAACTATACACATTGTTAACACAAGACACAAACACTTGTCTTCATAGACCAATTGCTAACCTCTCATGCTTTCAGAAAAGCACATATTATGCTGGGATCAAAAGTTTTAATAACCTGCCTTCTGATCTCAATGGTCTTATGAATTAAAATGCACAATTTAAAATTGCACTGATCAATACCNTTCCGTTTGTACCATTCAGAATTAAAGCTACGACTATATTTCTTGTGCTTGCTTATGTCTGGCTGAGATATTAAAATATCAGGTGTTAAACAACCTCTTTTCTTTAACTGCAACTTTCTCGTGGAGAGACAGTTGTGACAACTTAAGCTGTTGAAANGTAGCCTTGTGTGTAGTCACTGTGTATTTTTGGTTTCTCCTGTGTGAGAACTCCATCGGTACAGTACATATGCTTTTGTATTTGTATGACATATTCCACAANATAATCTAATTCTACAATTAACTCATATTTTTTAAGCACAACACACGCGGAAAAAAAGAACTACCTTCCACCAGCACGCCAGGGTCGGCACTGGTCGGCACTGTTGTTCCGGCAGTGCTCCCTCCCCCTTGCAGCCTCGCGTGTAGCTTCCTATGTGCGCATGCGCACAGTCAACGAACACCTTGCCACTGGACCTGTGAAACACACAGTTCCATACAAAGATTTGGCTACTGACATTAAGCTTAAGGATTATATATTTTATTGTACACGTATAAAGAAGGAATTACAGAAAAAAGGACTCATTATATAAATGTTATCGATAATATCAAGTGGAAATTGGGGGTGCTGCAGTTCTGAAGTGCCTATACACGGGCCGCCCCTGGTACATGTGAAACCAAAGATGGAAAGGGGACATATATGACACTTTCTTTTAGAGAACAAGAGCAAAAGTTTGATGGATAATAGGACTCTTATTTATGATTATGATAATGACATTACCTATCTTAATGGCTAATTTAACTGTATTAAGAAAGTTTTTTGTTCAAGAAAATGAAATAAAGGCACTGAAAGCAGCATTATTTCTTTACTTCATTTGCTTTTAACCCTTGGGATGGAACATCAACTGTTTTACAACTGTATTTAATTTATTCTTAATGTCTACTTCGGTCTTACATAAGCTGACCTAACTCTGGTATATATGGGTAAAAATATTCTGGCAAGAAGAGTGTAAATAATCCTTTGAATTAAAATATGCTTATGATATACATTTGACCCAATTTTCAAGTACCTACTGGGCTTCTTGAATGGGACACTGTGCAGTTGAGAGGAACCTGATGCCTCAATCTTCTGGGTAGATGGGTGCCTATATTCTTGAAGTTGAATGCATATCGGAAATTGCATGAGACAAATTTATGAAATTTATAAGTAATGAAGTCATCAAATCTGAATGTGTTGTCACATAAATGATAATACATGGGTTTCAAAACTCTTTCCCCAGGTACCTCCAATGAAGTATGTTTTAAAAGTACATCTAAAACAATGACTAAGTATAGAAACAGATCCAATGCGCAAGATTATCTTCAATGCACACCTGCTACCATAATGACGTATTACTTTTGTGATTTTTGGTAATATATATTGGATCTTCTATTACCAACCTTATTTAAATAGCTGGCAATTGTGGTGGGAATCATGGGTTGTAATAATTAAATACTTATGAAAACTAATGTTCTACAGAATCATTTATGAAAACTAGTGTTCTACAGAATTAAATATTTATGAAAACTAACATTTTACAGAATTAATAAGACAAATAAGATGATCAACTGTGTTTAAAAAAGGAAAGAAATATATGTAAATTACCTCTCCTGATTGGCTTCTAAAATCAAGTGTACCCATAAAAATAATTTATTCAAAATATATGAATACTTACCTTGCTATTCCAAATAAAGAATTCCAAACTTTGAAGGTCATAAGAAGACAGCTACAATATATTAAATAATTTATAGTCAATAATATATTTTTATTTGACTAAATATTTAAAATACTTTGGCAATTAGAGAAAATATTAAATCTTAAAAACAAAATATACTTGAGAAACGATTATTACTATGTATGACTACAAATCAAGAATCATCACATGTATTTTCTAGTTGGCATCTTGTTTTCATATATTGGAATATACAGCACAGACATCTAAAATATGTCATTACAGGCCATTTGCTATATATATATATACTTCTGCTATGATCTTATATTCCATTATATGAAATTGTTACTTTGAACGTCCATGTATAATGGACTATCACATAAGTATGTTGGATTTGAGGTTCTCAGCACAGTGACTGCCAGAGCACGATCTTTTGGGATGTGATGCTGTGAAGTCAAGTAGAGGTTCAGTGATGTTTCACAGAAATGTACTACCCCCATCTTCATGACTGAAGAGTGTGCAAAGATGGATTGTGAGAACGGGAGGTGGATGGAACTGCCAGAAGATTACATATAATAGCAAGCTTTGGAGTTAGCAGTGTAGAGTGCTAATTATATGCTACATCAATGCAGAGCAGTGTGGTTTACAGAGGAACTGTGCCTGATAGCTATGACATAGTTCTTACAGAAGGATAACATTTAGTAATACACACATCAGTATCTGCTATACATAGTCAAATTACAGCCTATCTACTCTGCAAAAAGTTCTTCACTGGAAGAGAGAATATAAAGGCAATATGTCTCTTGGTTTAGTTTTGAGGTTTTCATGGCAATGAACATTTATGTTGCAGTCTTCTGGGGTATGGAATCTNAAAATTTTGAAGAGGCCTACCTCTGGTTGCTGCCCACTTCATGCTGCTTCTCTCGAGCGCTGAAGATGAGGTAACATGTTTCTGAGTTGTTAAGCGGATTTTTGTGTTATATGCTAAAGATGGAACTCTCCACAACCACTGCTGTGAGAACCTCAAATTCT